AACATATAGGTATTGCTTCCTTCAGGATATTAGATATCTTAATGCGTGTGAGGTCTTTGTTATGACGCAGGTTGGCTGACAGTGCTTCCATTATCACCAAAAAGAGATAGGGGGCGATGGGATCCCCTTGTCTCACAGACCGTTGGAGCTCAAATGGGGGTGCTACTGACCCATTGACCTGAACGTAGGTAGTGGCATTATTATGGAGGATCTTGACCCAACGTCGGAAGATAGGTCCAAAGTTCATTTTTTCCAAACATTTATCTAGAAAAAAACAATTTATGTGGTTGTAGGCCTTTTCAAAATCTATAAAAATGATGGTCGCATTTGCCTAATTTCGTCGTGCTAATTGGACCACGTCTTTTACCAGCAGGATGTTTTCTTGTATGTTCCTGCCAGACATGAACCCTGTTTGGGCTGGATGTATGACCTCTTCCAAAACCGTCGCCATACAGTTGCCCAGTGCTTTGGACAACATTTTATATACCACTATGAGCAGCGTAATAGGTCGGTAATTTCTGATATTCATTTTGTCTCCTTTTTTGTATAGGAGCGATATCACCCCCTTCCCCACGGTTTCTCCAATTTCCCCGGCCTCCCATACGTCATGATAGTATTTCCACAGGTCGGTGCTCAGGTCCGTCCAAGTGGCTTCCCAAAACTCTTTGGGAAAGCCATCTATGCTGGGGGGGGTTTCTTCTTTCATTTGGAGGAGTGTTGTCCACACTTCTTCTTTTGTTAACTCTGCCTCCAACTCGTCACGTTGTTGTGGGGATATGTGTCGGTCCATTGGACGTAGGAAGTCCTATATTTCCCTGATTCTCTCTTCCCCATGCGGGGATGAGACTTGGGATGTATATAATTGTTTAAAGAACTTCCTAGTGATCAGCATACAGTGCGTTGTGTCAGTGGCGATGGCGTCGCTATTATCCGGGTTATGGAAGACCTCTATGGCTGTTCGTCGTGTACGTGCGGTGGCCATTGAGAAAAAATGGGTGTCCATTGAGGCTTTGTGGGTGAGTTTGGTCATTTTCCCTCGGATCCTGATTCCTTGCCATCTCTGTAGTGCGTACTGCAAGAAGTTGATCTTTGACTCTTTGGATGGAGTTAGTGAGATGTTGTGGTTCTTGGGAAGAAGTGAGATGCTGTAACTTTGCCTGCCGTTCTAGGACTATTAGTTCGTTGTGGGTGGTCATTTCTTGGTGCTGTCGGAGGGCCGCTTTAACTTAGGAGAATTCTTTACACTTTCTGGCCAAGAAGATTAGACCATTGTTGAACCATACAAGACAGGAATCAAAAAGGTGATTCTTTTGGCGCCAGAAGTCCCATTCGTGTCGAATCATTTGTAAGAACGATGAGTCCTTAAGCAAGGAGGTATTTAACTTGTAAAAACTTGACCCTTGGTCCGACCTTTTCCTCATTGTTAGTATTATGCCACAAGTCTTATGGTCTAATCCTGGGTGCGGGCTGCGTGGGAGAATTAGTGTCATCGCAGAGCCCCCTCTAGGTCATTAGAAAGCAGGATAAGGTCAATTCGTGATTTAGATAATCGTGATGGGTCACTATCCCGTATGCACGTGAATGTTCGTGTTTGGGGGTGCAAGCGGCGGAAGGTGTCGAAGACCGAGAGAGTCTCACAGAGGTCAGCCAACATTTGTTCATCTTCGATCGCCGCAAAGGAGGGAGATTCCTGGGGGTTCCATCTGTTCAGTCCATTGTCGGAGGTAGCGTTGAAATCCCCTGCTATGATTAAAGGAATACCTTCCGAGACTTGCATTCCTATCCTCCCCAAGAACTCCCTTTTTTCCCCCATTGAATTAGGTGAATAAATGCAGAGGATGCAAAACAGTTTTAGTTCTAATGTTCCCAAGACAGAGGCCCATCGCCCCTCTTCTTTATCCACCACCCAGTAAACCGGCTGGAATCTAGAGTCAGGAGGGACCCAAATTGCCACCCCTGCCGAGCCCGGTCTTGGAGCCCGAGCTCTTATGGTTGTGTGAGGCCAGACCAGTTTATGTGCCCTGTTGTGTTTTGGATTGTCTTGCAAATGAGTCTCTTGTACGCAAATCACGTTTGGCCATCGTCGGCCTCCTACCCCTCTAAGCTGATCCCAGGTGGCTTGGTGTTTTTCGGGCTTACTCGATGCCAGGCCATTTACGTTAATGGAGCGCAGGTCGAGGTCGGCTGAATCTACGCATTTACGCCATGCCTGATTCCTACAGTATAATATTTCTAGATCATCCATGTCTTTAGCGCACTCTTATGTCCTATAGGTCGTCCGTTTCACAGTGGATGCCATTGTCTGACATCCCATCTGTCTAGGTGTAAAAAAATTTTCCACACTGCTTGGCATAGACATCGACACACATCATCTTCATACCAGAAATCGCCGACTTTTATCTTTGCGCACTGTAGGTCCAAAAAACGTTGTGATTATACCACCCCAGGTTGGCAGATTTGTTGGGTTCGAAAAGCAGGTAGAGGTCATTCCCAGCTATCTGTTCATCCTAGTCCACAAATCTCATTCTTGCTCTAGCCCCCGGAGCATAGTATTTGGGGATAAAGGCAGACATTTGGTTGGTGAAGGCCTTGTCTCTTTCCCTGCGGTCTCCCCCTTCGACCGAGAAGTCCCATCCTTGCAATGTCACGCCCCCGTATTCTCCCAACGGGGAGAGACCCATCTCCCATTTTCCATCCTTCTTTCTTAAGGGGACTACTAGTACCCCATTAACTTTGGAGAGCGGCAGCTCGAAGAGGCCCCGTTCTACGAGCTGCCTCAACTTGAGTCTCCGTGAGGTCATTCCTTCCTCCGCTGTTTCCGCTCCTCCCCTCATCTCCGATTGTGAGGAATGGACGTGCCCTTCCTGTGCGTGCTCGGATGGATGTGGATCAGAAGGTTCCGCTGTAGGGGGGGGCCGAAACCGTCCCTGACCGATGGTCAGGATACACTGAAAGGCCTCCGCCCACGTCAAGTGGGGGGGGGGGGGGATGTTAGTGCGGTTCTCAGGGAGGGGCTATTGTTTAGGAGCGCCACTAGCTCAACGTAAGACATGTCCCGGTACTCCTCCCCCTCATGTGGACAGTCCGATTGTAAGTGTTTAAGTATCCAATCTGCCACTCCCTGGATTTTCTGATCCAAGCTCATTTCTTGGGGGGGGGCATCGGGGTCGGATGGGTCTTTCGAGGATTCCTCCATCTCTACATCTGGGGGAGGGAGGTTGAGTCCACATCCATATGCTGCGCCCCAAAAGCGTCTGAGCAAAATCCGGAGCCAGTGATTGCATACTCCCCTGTTCGGGCTGATGTGATGACGTCGGGGACTGTTGCGGTTCCTGCCCTGGCTGATGGGGCTGCTGCCCTTGCTGAGGCTGTGCGGTTTGTGAGTGTTGTGCTTGTGTTATGAGTTGTTTTAGCAAGTGTGTTGGCTGGGCCCTTGCCTGTTGTTTCAGCCGTATCCCCTGATGGCTCAGTGGATGTTGATGTTGTATATCCCCTTCCCCTGGTGCCCGTTCTTGCTCTTGTGTCGTGCCTTTCCCGGGGTCCCCTAGCGCTGGCCTGTCCTGCTTGTTCTGTGTTTGCTGCCCTAGGCCGCTTGTCTTTTCTTGACCTGAACTGTCCGCAGGAACCTGTTCCCTCCCCCCAATCAGTCCTCGCTCCGTCGGGTGCTCGTCCTGTTCCGACTTGTCTGTCCCATTCTCAGTCCCATTCTCTAAGCAGGCCAAGTGCTCGTCCTGGCATTCCTGTTCCGACTTGTCTGTCCCATTCTCTGTCCCATTCTCTGTCCCATTGTCTAAGCAGGCAAAGCAGTTGTGTTTGTCACGATTTTCCTCGTCTCCTACCCCTTTGTCTGCTTCCACCAAATTCTTCTGTGACCCCTCCTTCTTCCTACTCCCAACGACCTCCCAGGATCCCTGTTTTATGGCCTTCGTAGGGGGGGGGGGGGGGGGGGGGGGCAGGGATTTAGGGGGGGTCCATGTCGCTGGTGGTAGGTTCTCCTGCCGCGGTCGCCCTGCCCTTCCCATGACCAACCAACTACTTCCCCTTCCTTTTTCCTGGTGCGTCAATGTAGACCCACCCCTCGTAGCCCGGGTCGACCGTCCGCCACCTGGATTCCTCAAAGGGATCCTTTCTCAATCGCCCAGTAGGTTTTGCTGTGCGTGAGTGATGACGGGCGCACGCCGTGTCAGTATACAGGTGTCGGAAAATACTAATTCAAAATAGCCTTCTCCCAAAAAGTTGTAGGCTGCGCCCGATGACGGGCGCCGTTGATGAATCTCATCGGCGGCCGTCGTTTCATTTCGGTCTCCCGAAAATCAGAGTCCCGCCCGAGGCCGACATGGGAAACACCACTCTCTTTCCTGCTGTTGCGAAAATGGGAAAATAGCCTACTCCAAAAAAATCGGAGGCTGGGCCTGATTACGGCCGCCGCTGATAAATCTCATCGGCAGCCATCATTTCGTTTCGACCTCCTAAAAAATTGCAGTCCCGCCCGAGGCCGACAAGGGAAAAAGTAGTGGTGGTTAAAAAAAAAAAGAAAAAAACAGACCCCAGGTCTGCTGGCGGTGCTGATATGAGCAGCCACCTCCAGCAGCCCTAAGGGCCGAAGTGTGGTGGACACTCCTGAGGAGCTCGTGTTCCGCCATAGCCTGCAACCCCGCATTGGGAGTCGCCAGCAGATGCAGTGCTCACAGTGACTCATTGGCTTTGACAAAGGCAGTGATATCTGGCATGGATGCTGAGTTGAATTCTTATTCGACGAATGCATTCTTACGCGGTGACTGTCGGCACATGGTGTGCATGCAGGGCTTGGACTACGTGGTACTGTGGATTGGGTCAATTTGGGTGTGTTTTGACTCATTTTTCATTCTCTCACAAACAGATGTACAGATTTGGCCACATCTTTTCTCACCTCCTTCTTTGCATTTCTCTGCTCTGCTTTCCTCTTCCACCTTCTTGTCTTCGTCTCATCTCCTCTCCATCTTTTTGTGTCTTCTCTGCAGATACCTTTGGCATTGGGGCTCACACTACTGGCTGTGAGAATGCTCTCTGATCAGCAATCGCTACCAGAGTCGATGAAGCAAAGTGCTACTAGTTACATGCTTGCAGAAGTGAAAAGTCTCAAGCAGGGTTTAGCCGCAAACCGACATACCAGGGAGGCACATGCAGGGTTGGGACGGAGGGAGTTTTGTATACTACCATGCTTTGCGTGTCTGGCCGGGATTCTGGGTGGTCTTCTGGGAATTGGTGGGGGAATGATTATTTCTCCGATGCTGCTTGAGCTGGGGTATGAACCAAAGGTGAGCCTTGCTGGGTACCCATCGTCCCATACTACTACGGTCCCATTTCCCTCTTCCTCTCCCTCTTCCAGCTCTTCTGAGCGAGCTGCGACTCAGCTGTCCATCCTGCCACTCACCACACATATTCCATCCATTCTTTTTCCTTCTGTTCTCTTTTGTTCTGTTCTTCTTTTGAAGTCGAGATGAAGTTGGAAGTTGGAACTACAAAATTTTATGTTATAAAAGAGACAGTGATGCTGAACACCGATCTTCTGTCCTTCGAGACATCTGTTAAAATTGGAACGATACAGAGAAGATTAGCATGCCCCCTGCGCAAGGATGACACGCATAAATCGAGAAATGGTCCAATTTTTAAGGGAAAAAAAACACCGATCTTCATATCACTCCGTCAACAGACATCAACAGATGTGAGTCTCTCTTAAAACTTCAAAGTTCTGACTTAGTCTCCAATGCAAGTAGCTGACTGGTGCTCAAAATTTCCAACTTGCTACTTTAAACTTCAATGAACTGCTATCTCGGGAGATTAGCTGAGCGTTTGCCTGGCTTCTGCACGCAAAAAGGCTGTGTCTTTTCTTTTCCCCAAGCTTTTCGCTGTTGCCTGGTCCCGCCCCCATTGTCTTCTCGCCAAGTTTGTTTACTGGGGTGCATTGGTGTGGCCCGAGTTTGTCACACGCCAATCAGATTCCCATGGAAAGTTAATCTTGTTATGTGAGAGGGCCATGCTTGCAACGTTTTTCTTGCAATGTGTGTACTACCCGCACCTGGAGTGTCGGTGTGGCCACACTTTGGAGTGCATGTTTGATTTGTTTTGTTTTTTGTCTCAGTTTTTTTTTTTTTTTTTTTTGTTTCGTGACACACACACATATGAATCCCGAGTTTGTCTAGGGGCAAGTTTATCTTGCCGCATGCAGACCAGCACTGGCAAAGCTTGTCTCACAGGGCATGTGCCCCCAACGTTCACAAAGTTTTTCACTGTGTCTGCGCCGGTGCGTTCAGTGCCAGTTTTTTTTTTTGTTTTGTTTTTTTTTTTTTTTTAACAACACACACACAGCCCCTGGTATTCTGGCGGCCGCCAGTCCGGTTGCTTATCACCGGCAAGCAGAAGAACATGAGTCATTGTAGTCATCAACAAGAAAAATTTAACGAGGAAAAATGGGCACAGAAAGCAAAACAAGGGTTGCTCTTCTTCTTCTTCTTCTTCTTCAGTACTTCTGACTTTTGGTCGCTCTCGTTTTTTTCGTCCTGTCTCAGGTGACAACGTCAACCAGCATGTTTATGGTGCTTTTCGCTTCCTCCATGTCTGTTGCAGAGTACGGCCTCCTTGGCAGGATACCAGTGGATTTCGGTGAGTAGCGGCATACTCACACCAGGACTTTTTCGGTTAGTTTCTCCACTTCTCTGTGGATGTAATACTACGGTAATTATAGCGGCTAGGTGCATTCTGGGCAGGTTGGAAAAGCGGTCACATACATCCTGGAAAGTGCTAGTGTGATTATGTCCTCGTTCTGAGAAATTCAATCAGGATTTGTCATTGAGATCATTAAAAAAAAAAAAGAAGAAAGGGAAAAAAAAAGATAAGATTCGTCAGGAATGAAAATGGGAAGTCACTGCCCGTCCTTTTGGTAAGCATGTGGCAAGTTTCTGAACCTGAAACTCCCAGAATTGCATAATTATTAAATATTATTAATACAAGTGGACCCACCGCAGCCACTCTGCGGCGAAGGACCAGGAGAAAAACATTTAGCGAAACACCCCAGTCATCAGTTGACTTCAGCGAAACACCCCAGTCATCAGTTGGGCTCCATCTTTGCAATGTAACCCTACCGGACGCTGCCCAACTTTGCAAAATGGCCCGGCAGTTGCCAACTTTTCGCAGGTGCAATTGCAAAAGACCAAGAGAATTTGCACAGCCAGCTGACAGGGGACATATATCTAAAGTCATGGGGGTATTTGGAAAATTACCCCCCTTGCCAAAAGAAAGGAGACTCTCTCCCCCCCCCCCCAAAAAAA